CATATATTGCACGTAGAAACCTTTGAAGAAATGCCTGTACAAGCCCTGCAGAGGAAAGTCTCACATCTTTATGACCTTTGAAGATTACAGTTGGAGGTTTGGTTGGTCAGCTGTGTGTGTGTGTGTGTGTGTGTGTGTGTGTGTGTGTGTGTGTGTGTGTGTGTAAGTGTGTGAGGGAGAGAAAGAATTGTTGGAGGATAAACACAGGAGGGGAGATAAAGCTTCAGGGTGTAAGGGAAACCACTTACTCAGCAGTCTTCCAAACTTCAATCCCACACTCTCATCTTGACCCTCCGTTATGAGTGATGTCCAGGAAGGAGCATTAGACATGGGCTGACTGGCACTTGTGTGTATACTAAACACACACACACACACACACACACACACACACACACACACACACACACACACACACATACGCACACTCACTCACACACTGAGACACAGAGATTCACAGGTTTGGCTAATGGGAATGATAACAATCCTCAAGTCCAGAATGAGAAAGCAGACTTTTCTCTCCGGCGATGAGTTGCATAATGGCCTCAATAACCTGGCGTCTCTAGAACGTCCAGTCCACTCGAGAAATGGAGCAGGACCAGGACTCATAAAAACATCTCTTAGGTATGATGTGGCACTTTAGAAATATTTTTCCATCTCCTCTGCTTGCTTCATTCTTCTCACAAAGCTCCTATTTGTACCACCGCATCAGAGAGTGATCACTGCATTCCCGCTGTTTTGGGCCCCAAACAATCCACACATTATTGAGCCATTAGCCACTGACCTCTGGCTTTATGGGCAGCCTGGACCTCTGATAGGCCAGATAAAAGCTTAGAGGATGAGAGTAGAGAGATAGCACAGTAGGAGCTTTGTGAGATAAAAAGCAGCGTCCAATTAAAAATCTGTTGAGAATCTTGGCTGTCGTCCCTCCCTGAGGGCCTCTGGAAGTGTGCCAAATCAGTGCCATCCTGCACTAAGAGATAGCCTGTTTGACTGTGTAGTATTTAGGAGTTTGGAGGCTGAGCTGCCAGATTTGTTTGGTGTCTATCACAGACAAAACTCATTTTCTTCTTGCCAACTATGAAAATGAGTCCCTTAATTTGCCAGTTTACAAGTGTTGACAACAACAAAATGTCAAAAAAGTGAGTGTGCTTCTTACATAACTCTTAATTAAATCTTTTGATGTCTGATTATTCACCCTTACAGTTATTTCAGCCCTTGAGGGAATACACCAACTTGCCATTCGTTATCCATGTGTCTATGGAACCACACAGATACAAAATAAAGCTTTTATGCCACGTGTTTGCTGATACGTGCTTCATTTTGAGTCTGGCAGAACTACTTTTAAGAAAACTTCCCTTCCTGACAGTCTCAGATGGGTGAAAGGGCATTCAGGTCATAGGTGAAAGGTGATGAGGTCACAACCTCTGCTATGGGAACCATTGTCATGGGAACTGCAGAAGCCCAGAAGCTGAATGACTTCCTGTCTGCTTGTGAGTCTGTCTTAAGACAGGAGAGACATGATTTTTTTTTTATTTTCTCTATTCTGAGTCAGGAGTTGGATCAACTAATCAGCTTGCATGATGCTTTGTTAAGATTTAAGATGTGTGTGCATTCTGTGTAGACCCAATGTTTATGCTACCTTTGTAGAACCATAATTCAAGCCTAAAAGCAACAAGAAGGCCTAAACAGGAGCTCAACCTATCATCTATCACTCTCATAGACTCACATTACTAACGACCAATGAATCCATAAATCTCCAGCAAGGTTTACTTATAAATGAGTTTTGTGGTTTTCCAGAGACCAACGTCAGTGCATTATCTGGATTGAAGTGACTGAAGATTTTGTGCCTCTTGAAGTGGCCCTCTGCTTCAGCTCAGTGTTTCTGCAGGAAGCCACGTCCAGCCTTTGCTTGGATACTTGAGAAGCAGATTGAGAATGAAACTTTCCAGAACTGATGGGACATTGGACTGCATTCCTGCATAAGTAAGTCCTGCTGCTCTGTTTACTTGTTTTGTCTAAAATCGACCAAAGTTAAAACTCTATTTTTCTTCCTGTACCCCGAGAAAATATTGTGTGTGTTTCTGTGTGTCAACGTGTGCGTTTGTGTGTGTGTGTGTTCACATGTTTGTATATGTGTGCGGTATGCTCCTGTCATCACGTCAGGGAGAGTTGCATGCTTCTCTCCTGCTTTGTCAGCATTTACTTCCCACTGGAGGGAATACAAGTGAAAAGCTGTCAAGGTGCTGATTCAGAATCGTTGGGCCTATCGGCACAGTCATGATTTCTCACTCTCTCCATCAATGTTTCTCATTATTATTTCACAGGATTGGGGGGTTGTCAAAGGACAGTTCATGGAGTTAGCAATGGTGATACATTTGCTTTAAAGGAGCCTAAAAGTCGGGATTAGTGGTTGGATGTGCAAGTCGCAGTGCTAAATGCATTAACACAACCAGTTCCAGTTCTTGTTCAAATAAACTGCAGATGTACCGCACTGCAAAAACTACAACTTGCACTTAAGAGCTGATTTAGCTGCAGCATTGAGTAATGCTGACAATGAGCAGAACACCATCCAGTCATCACATACTAACTGAACATACAGTAAGCAAGCATTTGAGTTCCCCTGCTTTGATTTGGTTTATATATTCTGTGTTTTTGTGTTGGAAATTGAAGGGAATATTTGTTTTCATAGTGTGAGTCAGAGGGAAAAAAACATAACCAAACACAAAACCTCTGCGAGGAAGTCTTAGGACGCAAATGAGACATTCCAGCGTAGGTTGTTTAATTGTACATTCTCATTTCCCTGCACTGCCGTTGCCAAATGTCCTGAGTTGATGTTTGGCAACAACAATGATGGATTTCCCTGACCAATGGCTGGTGTTGTTACTCCACAAATGTGTTTAGAAAGTAGAGTCATTGTGAAACTGGGAGAAATTCTGAACATAGTGTTGTCACAAAAATACTAAAAAAAAACAGGCTGAGCTAAATCAAACTATAGTGGCGGCCTGTTTATAACATTTCTGCACTCCATGAGGGCTGAACAGGACCTCTTGTGGTAAATTTGAATGTTCCCACACCAAAATTATGCATTTCATTATATTATATCTATTATATTATATTAGGAACATGCCATTACCATGTATAAAGCTTTGTAAATGGCAGAGTTGGCTGTTGGGGTTACATTGGTTAAAATGTAGAAAGATATAATTCTCCACAGTGATTAATACTAAGTGTGACACACATGTCAATGCTATAGCTAAATATACATGCATGTGTGGTTCTGTGCATGCATTACTTTTCTCTTGGTCAGTGTCACCCGACATGAACCTCTCTGATTTAAATATGATCAGTCAGCTTAAGTATGTTTCAGATGTGCCTGTATATTGTTCCTATTTGTCACGTTTATTACTTTACCGCATTTCATGTGGACCCAGAAATCTCCTAAAATTTGTTACTATTCCTTAACCCATTTCATTTATTGATGCAAGATGGCAGATCTGAAAAATATTCAAGTTTAAGCTATTAAGTAGTTAAGTGATTCAGCTTCTCTCTGAGTAAATGAAGCCATGGATCATTTAGATATTCAAAGCTCTCATCTCGAAACTATGTTATAAACTCAGCATCACGCAGATGTAGCCATGCCAGATACATTAATGTTAACACGACATGGATGGCATCAATACTAATTATTCCAAGACGATGTAAAGAACTTATTGATGCCCATACCAGGACTAATGGACTAAATTAGTGTTTAAAGGCCCACTATATATTTATGAGGTTTCAGAGGGGATGCAAACCGCTTCCTGCAACTCATTTTCAGCAGACGCCGCTCTGACTCATGCACCAGCCATCTTCTCATTGGGCTTCCTGCACCCATTGACAGGTGCAAACACACACACACACACACACACACACACACACACACACACACACGCATATAGCAAGCTCAGCTGTTGCAGACAGGCCTAAAGCAGTGACATGCCAGCCAACACAGTCTGCATGCGAGCAGATTTAGGAAGGCATTCTAGTCCTCCAAGTCACTCTTGGATCGCTCTCCTCTGGGATTTTTGACGCAGTTCAGCCAGCAAACCGCATTCTGACCCGGGTGGAAGTGGGTCATCAATAATCACAAATCCCCCGTCACTGAGGGGAATCCAGGGTCCATGCATGCGTAATGAAGAGCATCAGACACACCCATTTCCCTCATCTGCTCCCTCTGTGTCATCTCATGTAATGGCAACAATGTGCGGCTGAAAGAGAGGAGGGGAGCTGGAGTCACCCCCATGAAAAATATGTGGGATCATGACTGTTTTGTATTGACGCATTATTTACGTGTCTTTGCTGCACACGTCACAAACATATTAGCAGATCGGTGGCTGGTATTCAGAGGCTGACTTGGCTGGCGTGATATTGTATCCATGTGGATTGATTCTGACAGCAGTAAGCAGAGACAGTACAGCTCCAGGATAAGATGAACTACGTGTGCGAGGCATGCACACCATATCCTCTTACTGCTGGGCTAGGTTCAATCATGCAGGCAATGCTTTGATCCTAGAATAAGGTACCTATAAATGATGGTGACAACGACTCCTCCAAATCCTGCCAGCCCTCAGCATTGGCAGGTACATGTGGCAACTATTGCTACACACCTGTCTCTCTGCTCATTGACTTAAAGAGGATAATGCCTGCTGCTGCGTGGTTGGCAGCTGAAGGGCCAAACTTGGTAGGGTCTATTTTTAATGGGGGGAAAGACTGAGAATATGCAAAGGAAAACTGAGAGGTTTAGATGTTTAGAATCAGAGGTACAGTATGTAGGACATACTGGTATATGTCTTCTCCCTCTATGTCTCAGTATATTTCTGTTTTCACAGGTACCGACAGTATGTGTGTGGTGCTGGGGGGACCATATGTATAAAATGATAACATTTGTAATACATATTTTTAACTTTTAGTGTGTTATCTATGTAGTGCAAATTTCATAGACAAATACAGGTTGCCCAAACTCCTTTAGCAGCACTTGGAGACACTAAAGGTCAGTTATCTGCACTTCTTTCTGGTAAATGGGAAGAGATCCAACATTTCATCCTCAGCAGTAAGCCAAAGTAGAGTATATGGCCCACTTCTTTCCTTGAGCTAAATCTATTTTGGCTATGAGGAGCTCTTATTAAACTGCATTTTCCCACTTAAGCACATTTACAAGCACAGTGTAAGTACAAATACGAGAACCATATGTAAAAAATAGTGCTTTACCACAAAGTTTTACCACAAAAACATGAAAAGGTGAGAAGTCCATGACCCAGTTTTCCACAACCAGGAGGGGAAGGATCAAGAAGCCAAAAATCTGATTAAAGCCAAGTGAAAGTCATGCCTAAATTCCTCCGGCATGAAATGGTCCAAGTTTGAATCCAGCATGTGGATCCATTTCAATGCAGGCATCACAGATGTCATCATGTCTGCAATGTGCATCTGAACCGAGCCCATCCATTCATCCATCCATTATTAAACAACCATCCTGGTCAGGGTCGCCAGGGGAGCTGGGGCCGATCCCAACAGGCATTAGGTGACTTTGTGTGGAGTTTGCACGTTCTCCACGTGTCTGCGTGGGTTTCCTCCCGGTGCTCCTATCTATTCCCACATGCAGGTTTAGTGAACCGGAGACTCTAAAATTTCATGTAGGTGTGAATCTGAGTGTGAATCAAGCCCCCAAAGGTTACATTTGAAAGGTTAAACCAGGTCTATTGCAGTTTCTTTTCTAAGAACTTTGGACCGCGATCCAACTTTCACAAACATTAGTGACACAAGTTTGTCAGCGATGTGGCCTTGGTGAGGGAACGACTGTGATTCCAGTAAGTGTTTTGAAACCACCTGCTGCTGCCAGATATCCTACCTCCAGAGACAGCTGTGTGAATGTGCGTGCATGTGTTTGCCTTTACCCATCCATGTGCACTTTGAGTGTGTGTGTGTGTGTGTGTGTGTGTGTGTGTGTGTGTGTGTGTGTGTGTGTGTGTGTGTGTGCATGTGTTTGTGTCAGAGCATCCAGCTCATGCATTCCTCGTGGATGGAGTCAATACTTTGGAGGAGACCCTGCTGCCTGGACTATTGAGTGTGTCAGGACTATGAGGGAAACAAGAAAGGAAAAAGGGAAAGAAAGAGGCTGGCTTCAAGAGGAACACTTGGTATTATGCCACACACACACACACACACACACACACACACACACACACACACACACACACACACACACACACGTAAAGCACCCCTGCAAATCTTTGCTGGATCCTGAAGGCAATTTCCTCCACTGGTTCATCCAGAAATCATTTCATAACTCAGGGACATTAGTTGTTTTCCTATGACACATGTACAGGTGTAGACCCCCACTGAGGACCCCCAGTCCTGAGCCTTGAGGACGTCACTTGGAAGCTTCTTTGTGATCCCAGTTCTACAACCAGCGTTGGTCTTCCTTTCGTCCAGAAAGCCTCTGCCTGGGAGGCCTGATTACACAGAGGCTCAGAGGAGGATAAAGGAGCTGGATATTTGCTGTGTGTGTGTGTGTGTGTGTGTGTGTGTGTGTGTGTGTGTGTGTGTGTGTGTGTGTGTGTGTGTGTGTGAGTGTGTGTGTTTTGCTGTTGCTTTTTCCATTAAACCTATTCTGTATTTTGATATACAGCAAGAAAATGTTCATGGAGTTTATAGAAGGAAGTAGAGGCATCTACAGACTCATCAAGTCATGTACGAGTGATTTAAACCTCTGAATAACAAACTAATGAACAATATTATCTAATTTCCTTTACACATGTTGTTTGACACGCCCATATGGGAAGGCCTGTACAGCTCTGCTGGCACATCAGCTCCTATAAGTCTCAGGTAAGCCCCACTGAAGTTTTCATGCTTACACCAACATAAAATAGCAGGTCAAGTCATTGTATCTGGTACTTGAACATTAAGCAGCCCCACCAGGATTTCGCAAGCTTTTTTGGAATTGATGCAGCCTAAATTTCACAGCAGCTTTTCAAAGATATTGTGATGCAGGTTGCAATGTTTTTTTTGCGATCAAATTGCGTGAGAAAGCGAAAATTGCAAAAAAAAAAAAGGTGCTTTTTTAATATAATTGCTAAAAAAAATTAAGACACCTTGTTCCAGTGGCAATACAATTGCTTGTACTTTTTAATTAATTGTTGCGATTGCAACATTGCAACTTCCTGGAGGGACTGATAGTCCTGAAGTAAAACTTTGAATGACTGTAACCTGTAACAGACATCCCAAGATCATCAGCCAGGCTCAGAAGTACACCAGGAGCCCCCAGCTCCAAGTGTCTCTGCCCACGGGAGATGGTGATGGAGGTGGTCCCAAATGTCTTTGCCTCGTCCAAACACATCCTTCAATATGCCCTCCCAGCAGCTCAGTAAAATGGCTGTTGGAGTCACAAAAGCAGTTGAGGACCGTGGACTGAGGACTCTGCTGCTCTCATCTCCATGCTGTTGCAAGTCAATTTCTCCCGCTCCATCAGAGACCACATGGTGCGGTCTATCCAGGAAAAGGGTTAGACAGGGTTATACTCAAGATGTCCTGGTGTAGAGGCTCAACTACTTTGCAGCAGAAGGGCTGAACACCACTGCTGGAGAAAAGAGTGCTTTTTCAGCCTCAGACTCTGAACAACAGTGCTAGACCTCCTGCCAACATCTGCCTGGAGGAAACAGATGAACAGCCAGAACCAGTCTCTACTGGGGTTGCTGCTGGTGCAGCCTGTTCTGGAGGAGGACACTGAAGCAATCAGAGAAACAGTCTCTGTTGGCATTACTCCTCCACCAGCTTTATAAAAATGTCCACAAAACATTTTGTTAATAAATCTGAACTATAATACAACAATGCAATTAATAAACTATAATTAACATCAAAATGAAGCAGTATGTGGTGTGGGAAAACTGAATGAAATCTTTCAATTACAGAACCTTTTGAAAGCCAACAAGTTAAACTCAACATCTGGCATATCATTTAATAAAATTATGTGCTGGACATGTCAGCAGTTGCTATACACATGATAGATTTAGGCATCCAGCAGATACACAGCAACATTAGCATTTATTTGGAGTCATTATTGACCACGTGTTTTTGATCTCTACCAATCCCTGAGCAAAATATCGGGCTCTTTAACAGCTAAAAACGATGCTATGAGAGCGGTGAAACAAGCTATAGAAAGTAATCATGTGATACATTGTTAACATAAAAATATTTAGTATAGCTGCTTTAAAATTGCTGGTAATTAGTGACAAATTAATAATGTATTAATTTACTTCATTTACTCCTACTTTAAAAGTCAACGTAAAAGTAGTCCGGCTTTAATGGAAAGTGTCTGGTCCTGGTCTCTAACCCTTTAGTTTCTTTTGGTGTTTATATTGTTCAGAGCTGTGTAACCCGTTCCTGAACCCAGCAGCATTAGCATAATGTCGGACACTCTCAGCATATCTGAAAAGTCAACAGTGATTTTTCAGCATAAACTGAACTTGTGAACTCTTGTCATATTAAGTTTGTTCCACAAAATGTTCTCTCCCTTTCCACCTCTGAACACACACACTCACACACACACACACACACACACACACACACACACACACACACACACACACACACACACACACACACACACACATTCTGGCTTCCTACCTGGCGGTTGGCTCTCCAACATCAAACTGAACAGTCAAACCACAGCATGGCAACAAATCCTCCTCCCAGGAGTGTTGGTCTTTGATCTCCATGTTGTCGCAGCTCACAGAGAACATACGCAGACAGACAGAACCCAGACCAGGATTCTGCTTCATGTTTTTTATTACAACCCTGTGAGAGAGATGTGATTCTTACAACATCAGTCTACAGTTCTGCATAATTCTGCTATAAAGTATATGAGCACTCACTCTATGGATAACATCAAAATGAATGCCAGTTAAGTTAGAAAACATCACATAAGACCTACGTAACAGCATGTAACAGCACTACGTCACATTATTTTACAATGTTATTTCACATATAGAGCCTGTGTTTAGACCTACTGCTTCCATCTGCTTTTATCCTTTTTTACTGAATAAATGGAAATTGTAAATCAGTGGATAATTGGCACATGTTGATTTTTTAACTTTGCCCTCATGGGGTAACCATATGACCTTTGACCACAATGCAGAGCCGAATGGAGGAAGATGAATGGCATCAAATTATATATTCTGAATACTTTAAGTGCAGCTTAATGGTTCTAGGCTTGAGGTTCCTAAGTTGTACATTACATCACCTAATTAATGTGAGCTAAACTATGCTGTATGCTCGCTAATGTGACAGCTTGACGACTGTTTTCATGTGTGAGAGCCAAGCAGCGCTGGGTGTGTCGGGTGGAAGGATAAGGAGACCCTCACTGCAACAACTTATACAATGTCATGAAACACGCAATGGTGCTAATGTTGTTATTCGTATTGCCGAGACGCTCAAGTGTACAGTTTCATTTGAAAATGAAATAAAAAGCACGAGTATCCTAACCCAATAAAGAGCAGGAATCGTGACATTCACATGGGGGATTTTCACTTCGGATGATTTACGCCACAAGAATGTTTTATAGAGCTCATCTTAAAGTTGCAGTTAAATCCAAAACTACTTCCATTTAGATGGAAAGCAGACTCCTGCTCCATGGAAGTAAATTACCTACTACCCCCTTCTCCTATTTTCTCCTCCATCTACCCCCCCCCCCCATATCCTTTTACCCCCTTAAACTTCTTCTTCTTCTACTCCATGTCCTTTAACTTCCATTTCCCCCCTCTTTTCCCTCTCTGCACCCCAACACTCTGTAAAGATTGCCACCATATGTTTCAGAGAAAGATCCCACATCATGTCTGGCTCCAGGGCCTCTAGCTGAGATACATGCCGGGCCTCTCTGGGCTCAGTAACCTTGGCAACTCTCACTCCTCTGTACTTTACCTTTACATTAACATGGCACCAGGCCCACATCAGCAGGGGATCTCTGTTTTCTGTCCCTTCACCTCATTCATCCAACCCCCTCTATTCTTCTCCATCCATCATCTTCTGTCGATATGTTTTCACCTGAAACTTCCTCCCCTCATCTTCACATCCCTCCCTCACAGCAAAAAACCCACAAACTCTGTTTTGATTCCAAATGTTTCTCATTTTCAAGTTTTGACCTTACATCAAGTTAATTGAACATGCTGGTTTGTTGACAGTTAAAGGAGAGAAAACAATCCTGTGATAGGCTAGAGTTACAGTAAATACATTTGTTTTAACTGTAGCTGTGACAGGAGATAGGGTCGTGTCTTGGGGCCACACAGGCCCACTAGTGGAAGGGAGGCTGAGCTTTATTTGTGTGTGGGCCAGCTTCCACCGTCATTGAATAATATTATCATTAACACAGTATGTGTTCATTAACACAGTATAAAAATTGCCAAAAGTACACCTTCTAAATCACAAAAGAATGGGAACACTTGTTCACAGTTTATAATTTTAGTTAAGTGGTGGCTATTTGTTTAATAAAGCATACAAAGTGTGATCTTTCTGTAAAGTTTATTCAAGTCATCCATGAACTCTCGTATGTGAAGACTCCAAAGAGTGGCTGTTCAAAGAGGCAGTATCATTTTATCCCCGTCGGAGCGTCACTCTGACACAGTTACACATTCTTGAGTTCTGGGGCAACAAGCAGATAGTGTTGTGCGACGATGGGTCTTATCATGTCCTTGGATGTTCAGTTAAGTCTCAACATCCCACTGTTTACTTAGACATAGAGTGTAGTTAGAAACAGGGTTAAAGGTTTATGCATGTAATAGCCTCTGGAAGAGTTTGTGTATGGTTTTACAGTGACCAGGTCAAAGGGCATGTAGGTTCTTAAAGACTGCCATTACAGTTAGTTAGTTAGCTAGTTCGGGAAACAATATATTTACTTACAAAAGAACCATGGAGACTTAAAATTTCAGTTTGACTTTGAAGAAAAATGGACTACTGAAATCTTGAATAAGCCAAGACAACAAAAAACACGGTTTAATCAAAATCATGTTTAATATTGATGATATGATATTGATGTGAAATTTAATCTGCCTAACAGGAAATCTCTGTTCACCCAACTGAGGTTCTATATTTTAAAACTACATCGGGAAACAGGATGTTATGGTGCTGAAGAAGAGTATCAGATTTGTCAGTTATGTTAAATTAAATTAAACTGAAGTGCTTTTTTATGTCCTTTATATCATTATGTTTTAAAAAAGAGGCTATTCAGTAGGAGGATCATTTTTTTGAGATGGTTGAAATTATGAACTTTTGCATTATCAGAGTATCGGAGCAATACATGGTCATAATGTATTGTACAGGTATTTTTTTTGTGTAGAAAAACACATTTTACTTTATTTTCTTTGGTTCAGGAACAATGTACTGTATGTGGTTTGTTTTTATGACATGAATAAGATGAACGTCATCTACTGGAAGTTGTGTGGCTGTGTAATACCATGTGGGGTTGAACATTTCATAGAATGACACCCAGTCATTCATTTGTTCATTAATGCTTACGTTTAGGACAGCAACATCCTTTTTTAGCAAAACATACAATGTCAGTTCTGCAGGACACAAAACAGCCGTTTCTATGACAACAATATAACAAGATGGAAGACTGTGTGTTGTAGGTTTAATGATAATAACGAAGTTGGAAAAGATGTGTGCCAATCTGGACTATGCAGTTGAAAGAGCAAGAAGAAGGAGACCTAAGAGGCAGAAACTCATGCAGCAATTGAAAGTACTTCTTATTATCCAGGCTGAGAGAAGAACACAGTGCTGTATTCAAAGGAGACGGGTAACTAACTTTATCATTATCTTATTGTAGTTTTAGGGCATGTCAACAAAATATTTCAGGGGAAATAAATTTGATACCAATGTGCTCTGACGTCATGCATATGTGGGCAACGATTCAATTCAATTCAATTTTATTTGTATAGTGCCAATTCATAACAGAAGTTATCTCAAGATGATAACCTCACAAGATCGGTGCGGGCGCAATCTGAGCCAAGCGCCGCAGTTGCTCTACTTCTACTGTGCAATAAAGGTTTAATCTGTTAACTAACATATCTTGTGTGGTTGATAATAACAACAAAGTTTATCCATCAATCTGAACGTGGTCTGCAAACTACAGGGAGCCTAAAGATGATCTATCAGAATGCAAACATTTTTGTTACTTTGAAGCCTCTTAGAAACTTGAGTCGACTGCCGCCTGACCTCATTCACTTTCCAGTTCATCTCGAACAAGCGTAGTCTTAAATTAAATACAAAAGGTCACTGAAAGTCCCTCTTGAGCTGGGAGTGTACCTACTCTGAAGCAGGCGCTAAAAATGGTGTTCTGAGAATGATGGTTCCTATTTCCTGCAATGCGGACACCAAAAAAAGAAGTGGTTTCCCCAACTGTTAGAACTATAACAAGTTGATCCGGTTCAAAAACACCTTTTGATGTAAAATGGATTTTTCACAAAGAAACGAGGTGTTTGGTAACAACCATCATGAAAAATCAGCAGCATTGCCAAAAAGATAAGAGCCAAATGTCAGATACGGGGGTATATTTCATGTGAAAGATAATGTATTAAACCATCAATGAGGCCTCTATCCCCCCTACTGTACAGTCTTACCAACTCCTTACCACCAAAACCCCTGCAGAGAGGACCTCAGCACAGCAGATTTTACCAGCATATGAAGCACCGGCATCATTCGTTCTTTTTATTTCAGCAGCTCTTCCTGATGTAGATGATTCCATGTCCATTAAACAATAGCAGATGGAGGCATGTGATTGATAAATGGCGAATTGTGAATCACGCAGGATGAGTCAATATAAATGTGAGAGTGTTGTGTTGCTGGCTACTTCATGCATAATGTACTTTT